CAATATCAGGTACCCGTTCCCCCAAGGTGCAAATTCTTCATGGGGAGCGGGGGATGAGTCCTTAAAGCGGAACATTCCCTATTGGGCGGAGCTCCGCTTTAACTTGTGTCCCATAGACATGAAAGTCACAAGCAAGTCACACTGCACAGTTGCACTTGAGGTTGCATGACAATGGGGTCACAGCAGTGTGAACTGTGGCTTATAGTTTATTTGCTCATTTAAGTTTCCTAAGCTCCCACCTCAGCGACCCGTGCCCTACACTCCACCGAAACTGCCTTACTCAAACTCACCAACGACCTGCTAACCGCCAAAGCTAATGGCTACTATTCAGTGCTCCTACTCCTCGACCTCTCCGAGGCTTTCGACATAGTCGACCACCCCCTCCTCCTCAAAAAACTACACTCCCTTGGCCTCAGAGACTTCGCTCTCTCCTGGCTCTTGTCCTACCTATTACAACGCTCCTTCAGCGTTACCTATAACGCTACCACCTCCCCCTTACTCCCCCTCTCTGTTGGGTCCCTCAAGGCTCTGTCCTCGGGCCCCTTCTCTTCTCCATCTACACCTCCTCCCTTGGCCAACTGATACACTCTCATGACTTCAACTACCACCTCTATGCCGACGACACGCAAATCTATCTCTCGACCCCTCGCCTCACCCCTTCAGTCTCCGCCCAAATCACTAGCCTACTGAACGACATATCAGATTGGATGTCGCTCCACTTCCTTAAACTGAACCTCTCCAAAACCGAGCTCCTAGTTTTCCCCCCAGCCCCGCCCCCCCCCCCCCTGACTTCTCCATCACGACCAACAATGCCACCATCAGTCCCACCCCGCAAGCCAGAGTACTTGGTGTCATCCAATCTGTCCTTCCAGCCCCAAGTCCTAATCGCTAACAAACTCATCCAGACTCCACCTCCGCAACATCTCCAAAATACGCCCATTCCTAACCCCAGAAACTACTAAGCAACTCATCCACTCCCTCATCATATCACGACTCGTTTACTGCAACTCCCTCCTCACTGGCCTGCCTCACCACAGACTATCCCCGCTTCAGTTGATCCTGAATACGGCGGCCAGACTCATCCACCTTACCAACCGCTCCGTTTCTGCCACCCCCTCTGCCAATCCCTCCACTGGCTTCCGATTACGAAACGGATCAAATTCAAAATGCTAACACTGACGTACAAAGCTGTCCATAACTCTGCCCCAAACTATATCACCGACCTAATATCCAAATACCACTCAAAACGCACTCTCCGCTCCTCACAAGACCGCCTTCTCTCTAGTTCCCTGGTCTCCTCCTCCCATGCCCGCCTCCAGGACTTCTCCAGGGCATCACCCATCCTATGGAACTCCCTACCCCAATACATCAGACTATCACCTACTCTCCTCTCCTTTAGGCGCACCCTGAAAACCCACCTCTTCAGGGAAGCCTACCCCGCCCTCTGCTAATTTGCCAATCTCCTCCACTCTTCCTACCACTCCATCCCCCTCAGCTTTTCCTCCCGTACCACTATCCCCCCCTCCCTCCTAGATTGTAAGCTCCAAGGTGCAGGGCCCTCGAACCCCTCGTGTATCGCATTGTATTGTTATTGTACTGTCTCATGTATTGTCTCCCATTGTAATGTACAGCGCTGAGCAAACTGTTGGCACTATATAAATACTGTATAATAATAATAATAAGTTTCCCCTAAGCTCTGTGGAACTGTGGTTTCTCTCTGTTGCCCACAGGTGTCTCTGGTACCTCTGGCAATAAATCTGAGTTATGATTATTTGTGTTTCCTCTAGTCAATCAGCAGGAGGTTTATTGCCGATGGTGTATGCTGAGAGAGTATAATTATTTGGGGAGGACCATATGAGCTCTCACCTCCCCCGAGTTGTGGCCTGGGGAGGGTACATATGATGTGAGCTTACTCAGGACTGTCTGCCTAATGATGCCTATTTGCGACTGCTTTTTAAGCTGTCCCTATTTGGATGGAATATGGAGTCCTAGCTGGTGCTGGTTGATTCTTCTGAAGAGGATTGGGCATAGAATGAGGTCCCAGATGGTGCAAACTGACTCTCCTGAAGAGAAGATACGGTTGCTAGTGGAGACTACTGAAACCTCTGAAAAGGTACAGGTTGCTGGTTCCAGCTTATAGGCCCTTTTCCCCATACTGGAGTTTATTGTTGGAGTCCAAATTTACAGGTTGGACAACTCTCCCTGAAGTCTGAGTCAATAAACTGTTCACATCTAACAGGGACTGGCGTCTATCTGTTCACCTTTTCCGCTATTGGTTTAGAACTGTCAGCCCTTCCTGTCTCTGGGAGTACTATACCTACCTCCAGGGGCCAGGGGGTGCTACATAAGAAATTATTTTCTAAATATAATAGGCATGTGTATTCTTACTTAAATCTTAGTGTGCTTTCTGTATTTCATACAGATCAGTGCAATAATCCAGCGGGAAACGTTGCCCCTGTGTAGGAGGTGCGCCTTTTATGGTGCATTACCATGTGTTCAAACACGTGTTAACATGGATTGCATTAAGGCAGCTTATTCATTTTGAATAGGCTGCCAATGCACCACAATGAAGGAAAAAAATGTGCACGACCCTTTTTTCAAAATGCAGCACACCACAACGTACAGTATATGTGTTGTGGGGAGCTGTGGTACATTGTGCTTTGTGTTCTACTGTGCAATGCATTGGGGTTCTATTTTAGTGGTATTGCAATGCAACACAGGTGCATTGGCATGTATCCTGGCAATGCGCAGTAAAGGGTTGTATTTTAGCGTGTGTTGCCACAACACACAGATTTGAACGGACCCTAAAAATATTGGGTGTTTCTGAACTAGGATCAGCATGGCAAACACTCCCTCTCCTGTGCCTATGCAAAGCAGTATCAAGATGCTGGAACCCAAACTCACTGGTTTACCTACTAAAATATGATTTTGCTTCCAAGAAGCTGATTATCTCCCCCATGTATCCCATAAAAATGATTTGCTTCACAAGTTGCTGCCGTGATGCTGATTTACTAGCCTATTATTTCCTCACAGATCTTGCTTCAGTACTATCTAGGGTGTGTGCTTCCTGTTATCTCTTATATTACCTTGTATATGAAATGTACAAATCGTGTGCCGAGTATTACGTTATTCCTGTTTACATGCTTCCATGATTTTGTGCCCTTTGTTCTTCAGCTTAGTTCTTTCTCATTGTTTTCGACAGTATAAGTGCATTGTGTTACAGCATACTTCAATTGCCTTCTTAAATTCAAGCACAATAAGTGAACACACATGTAAAATGCATATTGGAAAACTGTATTACATGCAAAAAAAAAAGTTTCATTCTTTTTAACTAATTTGGGTAGCCCCATGGTGCCTTGAGCATATGATCCAGTTTGCCCTAGATCAGCATTTCTCAACCAGGGTGCCCAGGCACCCTGAGGTGCCTTGAGGTTTCTTCAGGGTTGCCTTGGCAAAATGTCTAAAAGTTGCACAAAACTTGTATACAAGCCAGCGGGTGGAAAAAGCCTGACTTTTAGTTACACAAAGCCACAGGTTTTCATTGTGTGCCATTATGACCTTCTAGCCACCGGCGTCCTGACAACCAATGACATCATCAGTTGATAAGGAGGATGTCAATTGTCTGCACAGCATCCTTGTTTGACCCTTCCCTGCCCCTCTCTGTCGGTGCTGGGGTCACCCTCAGTGATGGAGAGAAACTGAGGGAGAAGAGAAACACTGTAATACTAGTCAGTAACAGGGTGCAAAAGTGTATTTGCTTTGGAAGAATAAATCACCTCTAGCATTGGGTGTCCATGTGTGGATGTTGCTGCATTATATAAAACTATTAGAATAGGTTTTTACATTTTAGAATGGGGTGCCTCAAGACTATCCATATTTTGAAAGGGTACCTAGGGACTGCCCATAATTTGTAAGGGTGCCTCAGGACTATCCATAATTTTAAAGGGTACTACAGGACTGTCCATAATTTTAGAGGGTGCCTTGAAATTGTACATAATCTTAAAGGGTGCCTTGATTGAAAAAAGGTTAAGAAACACTGCCCTAGATCATAGATGGGTGAGAAGACTCTGTGGTGTGAGCGGGGGGGGGGGGGGGGGGCTCTGACTATGTGATGGAGGCATTCTAATGTGAAGGGGGGCTTTGAAGTGAAGTTAATTTCATCAAAGTAGTTGTGCATTGGAATTTGGGAAGGGTGGGGATTTGAGCTAGAAGGGGGATTTTGGGGAGGGAAAGGATTTCCAACCTGACAGCGGGGGATTTTATACACAATCCAGGCAGACTCCTGTCTCTCAGGTGGAAGCAGTCAGGTGCCGTAGATTACTTCCACAGCCCCCGGTGATGGTAACCCCAATTCCAAAGCATGCGGAGGAAGACGAAGATTTGTGCTGGGAGGGGGGATTTCAGCAGGAGGGGGAATTGCACTGGAGGAAGGGGAAATTTTTGTATGAAGAGGCCTAAAACAGTCACACAAGCAATGAGGCTCTGCCTGAACAAAATATTGGCTGATGAGAAATCAAAGATACCAACATAAACTGGCTTTTATATTTGCAGCAAAAAAAGGTAAATTCTTTAATCTTACATGTGTGCAAGAATAAATTCCTGACATGTCATATTATAGCAATAGCATGAATAGCAAAACCGATAACATTTATAGTTAAATAGAGTCCCCGAGTTCCAGTCATTGGTTTTGCATATGCTGAATTATGTCATCGGTCATTGCGGGCAAGAAGAAGTATTTCTTCAGTCTTCTCTTCCCAATTGATAAGACTGCTTTGTATCACACAGTGAGAGGCTGCAATAGGGGACATTTGATAACACAGCCACGTTCTGCACAGACAACAGGATTTACATGATTGTTTCATATATGAGCAGGTGTCTCGGTCCAGGAAGTAGGTGGTGACTCCAGACGATTCCTGAAAAATATGGCGCTGTCCTTCTGAAGAGAAAAGCAGATGAAGGCAGTCGAGGGTACTGTGATCTCTGTAGGAGGTAATAAATACCTGTAAGTCTTACATCTACACCAGGGGCGGACTGACAACTCATGGGGCCCTCGGGCAATAGGGATCATGGGGCCCCTGTGTCCTTACCCAAACTCAAAAAAACCTATGAAAAAAGTACCAGGGGCATCTCATGGGGCCCCCTACTGACCCCGGGCCCTCGGGGAGTGCTCGAGTTTCCAAATGCTCAGTCCGCCCCTGATCTACACATTAAATAGCATGCATACACTTAACATAAAACATACACTCACCAGCCTCGTTATTAGGTAAACCTAACTAGTGCCAAGAAAATATCCCCACACCATTACACCACCACGAGCCTGAACCGCTGATACCAGAGATGGTATTCTGCATACCTTGGTAGTAACAAGTGGTTATTTGAGTTATTGTTGCCTTTCTATCATTTCAAACCAGTCTTCTCTGACTTCTGACATCAACAAGACATTTTCAGCCACACAACTGCCGCTCACTGGATATTTTCTCTTTTTCAGACCATTTTCTGTAAACCCTAGAGATGGTTGTGTGAAAATCCTAGTAGATCAGCAGTTTTTGAAATACTCAGACCTGCCCTTCTGGCACCAACAAACATGCCACATTCAAAGTCACTTAAATCCCCTTTCTGATGCTTGGTTTGAACTTCAGCAAATCGTCTTCACCATGTCTAGATGCCTATATGCATTGAGTTGCTGCCATGTGATTGGCTGATTAGCAATTTATGTTACTAAGCAATTGAACAGGAATACCTAATAAAGTGGCCGGTGAGTGTAAATCCCATGTTAGATCCATATGTCCATATGCACATAATAATCCTATAGTCTATGCGTGCTATAATAGATCCTGGTCCAGAAACATTATACTTTACACATCCTTTGCTCTAAACACTGAATGAGTTAATGGAACAGTTCATTGTAGTCGGTTCCATTCGTCATTTTATTCTCAGCTCTGTGACTGTATTGTTTGTTTCTGATATGTGCTGCAGCCATAACACTGACGGACTGAACAAAGCATTATATAATATTTACCTATCAGGCAAAGGGTTAATTGTGATGCATTAGGTAATGTGGTGGTGGGGGGTCCCATGCCAGGCTGACCATCCTTGATTTTTATTGGTGGAGGTCATGCCTGGTGCATGGGAAAAGAAAAATTGGCAGCTGGAACGGATGTCCTGACCCCCCCTCCCCCTTTCTTCCTGCCACCCCTCTATCCCCGTGCTTTATTTAGCCCTCCTAATGGACAGGAGGAATCAGACAGCGGAATCTGTCACTGCCTGATAACAGTTCAGGGACCCTTCTCTGACAGGCAGGACAGAGGGACACATAGGCTTTCAGTTTGTTAGCTGTTTTTATAGTCTGGATCAACTTTAGCAGTTGTTTGCATCCATTTGTAAACAACAATCTCTGTTAAAGGGTCAGTCCACCTAAATTGACATTGTATTTCTAGGTAGATGCTACTGGATTCAATCACACACAGCTTCAAATCATTTAGATTTTTCTTGTTCAGCCCGACTGAAGGAGAAAAAAATCAGTCAATTCCTCCACGCATGATGAGCAGTGCGGATGAAGAAATCTCTGCTGCCGACAATTACACCCACAGCTGATTGCATACAGTGGTGGAGTTGAACAGCTCCAAGGATCAGGGCCCTCCTATCCCTCTTGTATTGAACTGTATTGTAATTGTACTGTCCCCCTTTATATTGTAAAGTGTTGGCGCTATATAAATTCTGTATTATAATAATAATAACAGTGCATGCATCCGATGCAGTCAATGTTCAGCTAGTAATTGTCCACCCGACTTAGTCAATTTTTATTTTTCTGCATGCATTCTGTTTTTATTATTTTCACAAAATGTAACGAAATATATGAAAAATTAGCAAATGCAAACAATAATACAAAAGGTGGAAAAAATTCAAAATATACATTAACATTAGGCATTCCTATGTTACAAGTAGTCAGCATGCTGGGTCCTCAGGGCAAGGGTCGTGTCGCATAGGAAACAGAAACCATAAATAGAAAAAAAACTGTGTCACATAGAAACTCCATTGTAAGGATAATGCAGGCCATAGATGGGTCAAAAACCGTCCGTTTTTTCGGCTGAAAGAAAAAATCGTCCGATTTTCGTACCATGTGTGGGTTAGTTCATTTTTCATGTTTTTTTCTCTTTTGGATAATCGTTCATGTTGGAAATTTTCAGAAAACGACCGATTTTCTCCTCATTGATGGTCAAACCGTACGATCGTTTTTACGAAAATTTTATGCGCATGTGCAGTGACCTGGAAAGAAAAGAAGTTTCTCGCGTACGAAATTTCGTTTCCGGGACAAAATGTCAAAAGTTATAGAATGTAAACAAAACATTATTGCATGTTCTCCTGTGTTAATAGCATTGTGTGTTATGTACAGAACATGCATCTGTTATGGTTATTGCACTGTTCAGAAAGTACCCCACAAATGATCGAATTTATGTCCATTATCTACATTGATTAAACTTTATGCATTTATATTATGTATAAAAAAATATTAACAGTCATATACTTTTACAGAAACACTGCTTTATTGATGCATTTTGTCATTATCCAAAATAGCATTTTTATTTTTTTAAGCAAAATATAAATTTAAAAAAAAAATAAACTATGTTTTTTTACAATATAAAATATGAAGTTTACATTGTGTACATATATTTATTGTTTAATGGTACAGACCTTCAATAAAGAAGACATAATAAACAACATCCACAATGTGTGCAATCACATTGTAGTATTGAGATACATTATACAATTTCATCAAGTGTTTGCAAATTGCTGACATGACTGCAGTCAGTTTGTGATATATTCAGAGAAAAGGTTTTGACATTCAATGTAGAAGACATCCTATGCCAAATCCTTGGATCTGTTTCAGGGGGCCAAGAGATGAAAAATGAAAGGGTGCCAAACACTTAGTTGATTTTTAAATCAATGTTTGTCAAGTCAGGTGGCACGTACAGAGCCACCCGATGGTTCAAATATTGGCCATCTATGGCTAACTTTAAAAGGACTTTGATGACAAGATCCATGGGGGTTCGCAACATGATAGAGGTCTTATTTTCACTTTTAGGTTTATTATGTATTTTACAGCTAAACACTTTTTGATGCAACATAAAGATCTAGACCTTACAATGACCAAGGCAAAGTTCGGCATATTACACGTTTGTACTGTATGTCACCTGACAAAAAAACAGACTAATTTAGTCCTGCTGAAGGAGGCCATCTGCCCTAAAATGTGCAATAAGCTCACTAAAAAGTTGCATATTTTACACAACAAGAGACCAAGAGACCTCCCCACTAGTTTGGCTCAAATATTTGTATTTTTTTATTCCTCTGTGGTTTATACTGAGGAGAAGTGATAAGAAACAGTTATCATCAATACTGAAGATAAGGGAAATCTTCCCATGGGGACACCTATACCAGTAACAACAAAGAACACTTTGGAGAGATTTTCAATCTCTTCCTGTTGTGTCTGTAGGACAGGAAATTAAAGGAAGTCTTCATCACATAACTGTCATGTGACAAAGATAATGATAAAATTGCTCCCCTTAGCATCTAACACCAGCAGAGGGGATTATAACAATGGCTGCAGTGGTGAAACGGGGGAGCTTTGGCACATTAATGGGTCGGGCGAACTCCTTTGCAAAGAAACTATCACTCTGCCCTGAATAGGCATGGTGACAACATTATTATTATTATTATTATTATTATTATTATACAGTATTTATATAGCGCCAAAGGGTATACTCAGCGCTGTACAGTAGCAAGGGGGACAGACGAGACAGTAACAATACACTACACGAGGGGTTCGAGGACCCTGCTCTTTCGAGCTTACAGAAATCTGTACAAAGATGAATACAATAAGGCTGCCATTGCTAACCCCATCTTTGGCCGATTTAAGGATTGATGTATATTACATTTTTGTTCTTGAGTTTAGATACGCTTTAAGCCTTTAAGATGCTAAGACTGTCATATTCATTTTTCTTTTAGCACTAAGTGAGCCATTGACCTTAAAGTAGTATTTCAGGATTTACTTAACTAATCTTAAAACTGCTCCCTCCCCCCCTCCTAACACCTTTACCAACTAACTTGTAGAAGAAATTTCTGTATGCTAACTATTTTCAGGCTGCTCCAGTCCAATCATGTGATCTGGCTCCCCTAGGTCAGCCAGCGGAGGCTTCAGGGGAGAGAAGGGAGCACCAACAATGGATGGCCAATAGTAGTCCTATGGGTGACATCACCACTCAGGCATCCCAGCCGTTGTCAGAAGTTCTCTATTCTCCCCTGCAGCTGGCACTGAATGACACAGGGGAGATTATGGGACTGGACTGGAGTGGCCTGAAAATAGGTAAGTATACAGATCCTTCTTCCACAAGTTAGTTAGAATATATCTTAGAAGGAGGCAGGGAGCAGTTTTCGAATATGTTAGATTATTCAGGAATTCTACCTTAAGGACCGGTCCACACCACAGAAACGCAGTCTGGATGCGTTTCTGCATGTGCATTTTTTATGCGTTCTGGTGTGTTTTTCCCCTTTTTTTCCTTCAACTTACATAGGGAGATGATTTTTTATGTGTTTTGCTATATTCCGGGACAGTTCTGTACAGAAAAAATGCTGCATGTCCTACTTTTTTTCTGCACTGGAACACACTGCAACTGACTACACTGGTGTGAACTATGCCATTGGAACCCATATAATCTACTGTCCGTTTGTTTTTGATGCAGAAAAAAAATGCACTGGACTGCATCTGGTGTGAACTGGCCCTGAACTTATATATGTGCATATCAGGTATCCTAAATTTTCACTGGCCTAATGCTTGTTCTAGTTCAATGGCTCACTAAGGAAGGATACATCTGACAGCCTCAAAACTCAAGAACAAGTCCACATTGACAGCTTGCATAATTTTTTAATCTGGCAGGTTCCCTTTAAAGAAGTGAAGAGCAGTAGGATAAGAAAATACAGAATCTTAGAACAAAGAGAAAAAGAAAGTGAATCAAATCTCAGTGCTGATCAACAAATAATCCCTCACCCGGCAACAATAAAAAAAATTAGGCTGTTTTGGTGACTTTTTTACTTTAGAACGGGTCATGAAATTGGATGGAGTGGAAATCATGAAGACAGACTAATACTTTTATTTTCAGAATAGATGCTGTCACAATGCTCTCGGCCTGAAAAGTTAAAATAGAAGAGCCAGAGTCGAGACAAGGGGTGGGCATGAGGGGAAGATGCCCTGCACTGTGGTATCATGTTAGGTTGGGGGGAACCACAAGGAGATTGGGGGTAAGAACTTGTGTTGGGAGGGGGAATTTGGGGGTGGCAGGGGGTAAGAATTGCTCTAGGAGGGTAAGTTTAGAGAGGTGTGCAAGATGTGGTGATTTTGGGGGATTCCTATGGGGGGGGGGGATTTGAGATAGGAGGGAGGATTTAGGGGGCTTGTGCTATAAAAGGTGATAGGGTAGGAAGGAAGGGATTTGTGTTAGAAGGGGAATTTTTTTTTTTTGGGGGGTGGGGTGGGATTTGTACTACTAGGGATGACTGTGGAGTATTTGTGCTAGAAGGGGAAATTTGGGGGGGGAGGGGATTTGTTCTGGGGCATATAGGGGGATAGAGAATTTCAGTTGGGAGGATGGGGGGCAAAGATTTGTGCTGGGAGGTGGGATTTCAGTGGGGGGGGGTGAATTTGTACTGTGAGGAAGAGGAGGAATTGATGCTTAGGATGTAAGCATGCAGATTAGTGTTAATTTTCTTAGGGGGGAGGGGATTTTTGCTGACACATAATGCTCATTCATCTTGGGGGGGGAGGGGGCACAATTTGGTATAATTGCCCTGGGCTCCAGTTGACCTTGAGAAGAGCTATTATGTGTTAACAAACAGTTTAAAGCTTTAAACTGATCCATATAATCAGGGCTGTTCCTTCCCAGCCAGTGGCAACTTTGAGAACAATATATAGGGGGCAAGGCCGGTGCTAGACTATTTTGCGCCCTAGGCAAGACCAGCTACTTGCTCCCCCCTCCAAAAAAAACCAAAAAATAAATAAAAATAGTAGAAAATAATAAATCAATAAGATGCCACCAGCACCAATATTAAAGACAAAATCAGTTGCACAGATGGACTGTATCAGTGGCTGGCAGTGACGGGGTGACAGTTGCAATGAGTGGAGGATGATGGATCCACACTCTGACAGATCCCAGGCTGGAATTCCCCAGGCAATGGGGGGTGATAAAACGCTGTGATAGCAGGCAGCCCTGCCCACACACAGAGAGGGAACACCTGAACTGAGCGGTCCCACAAAGTGACAGATCCAACACAACATACCGCCACCAACACTGACACAGATCAGCAGGCACTAAAAGAGCAGGGTGTGGGATCGTGATGATGTCATCACTTACTGACACATTGCACAGTGATGGATGGCCAGCCAGTCAGCCAGCTTGGTCCCACTCACACATACACGAAACATCAGAGTCAGACATTACCTTGATCCACAGGAGCAACTCCACAGTGATCAGCAGCCACCAGCTGGTTTTCAGTAAGGGACTAAGTCTGAGAGAATCACTGGAAGGAGTGGCAGCTCAGCTGCTACACTGGCCCCAGACACCTAGCATCCCCTCCCCCTCCCCTCAGCTGAAGGATCATTCATGATGTGGCAGCATCCACACAGAGAGAGTGCTGGCCTGTGCTGCCTAGGTGGGCAGTGTGCCCTAGGCAGCTGCCTAGTTTGCCTAGTGGAAGCACTGGCCCTGATAGGGGGGCATATAAGATACCACACTCAAAACTGGGGAGCACCAAACATTTTCTTCACTATATCATACCACTGAAAAAAACTGAATAAGTTAATGTAAATAAGATTACAAAATACAACAGTAATGCAGGATGCAATGATACCATTTTATTGTTATAACATAACACTTAAAAGACAAGCTTTTAATGGTTTTCCTTTCTTCCTCAGGTATTGCTTCAGACCTGAGAAAAAAAAGGATAACTCTCAGAGTCTGCAGACATAGTACAGGAGATGGTCAGAGACTGCAGACATACCACAGTTAGGATCAGTGACTGCAGATTTACTACAGGAGAGGATCAGAGACCACAGACATACTACAGGAGAGGATCAGAGTCAGACATACTACAGAGATGGTCAGAGACTGCAGACATAGTACAGGAGATGATCAGAGACTGCAGAAATACTACAGGAGGTGGTCAGAGACTGAAGAAATACTACAGGAGATGATTACAGACTGCAGAAATACTACAGAGAAGAGACTGCAAATCTAGTACATGAGATGGTCAGAGACTGCAGATTTAGTACAGGAAAGGATCAGAGACTGCAGAAATAGTACAGGAGAGGATCAGAGACTGCAGACATGGCACAGGAGATGGTCAGAGACTACAGACATACTACAGGAGATGGTTAGAGACTGCAGACATATTACACGATATGATCAAACACTACAGACATACTACAAGAGATAATCAGAGACTGCAGGCATATTACAGGAGAGGATATCAGAGACTGCAGAAATACTACAGGAGATAGTCAGAGACTGCGGACAGGAAGCAGGAGAGGAGAGGGAGCTTGTCCTTCCTCCCAGTATGCCTGTGTGATCCCTGTCCCCTCCCTCCTCTGTGCGCAGCTGCTGGAGCGGGTTTCCTCTGTTTACTTTCTCCCCAGGACCCTCACTCTCATTTAGCGTCTTTTCCAGACCATGCAGGTCCCCTCAGATTTCCAGCTCAGCAGCAGTGTCCTGCTCCATACAGCAGGTCCCTTCAGACACCCAGCCCGTTCCATTGTCAGCAAGAAGCCTGGAGCCATCGAAGTACAGCACTAGAGGTGGAGCAGCTCCGGAGGAGGAAGTTACATGTTCTTCCTCTGAATGCTGGGGCCTCCATGCAACCTTTTGACCCATGTTAAAGAAGGCTATGGGTGTCACCCCTCTGTTGGACCGCACCCCCCTAGCGATGCCAGGTGCTTGGACATGCAAGAGGGGTCCCAATACTGTCTATGATGGCAGTGGGGCCCCGTTCTACTTGTCAGGGCCCTTCTCCTGAGTGGCCACTCACTGTAACCCTGGTAGTTCCGCCACTGCCTGGCAGCCTAATTAAGTGGGGGGGGGGTCACATAGGGGTAGCAAGGAATATCCTAGTAGGGGCAATTGCCCCCCTTTGCCTCCACTAGCAATGCCTATTTCCAGCCCCTGAAAAGAAAAAAGGCTTAGACTCTCTGACAATAAGTCTGCACAGCTTGAGGCATATGACCCTAAAAATCTTCCAGACTTGGCCTCATAATTGTGGCTCCTTCTAGATTTTCCTCACTGACATAGCTAAAATATTTGGCCTTTCATCAGCAATTTACTGTATATGTGTCACTCTTTATATATACTTGGAAAGCATTAATCCAGTGGGGAAAAAGTGGAAAGGAGGAATCAAGGTGAGGGTGTGGTGACTAAAGGGATATTCCTGGCAACATAAACCACAATTAATTCCAAATATAATAAATCCGATTACAGGACAGTGTCTGTTGTATTGGTGACTATAACAAGGTTTATGTCCAACCAAACCAAAAAGAATTTCAGCTATTATTGTACTGAACATTACTGTATACTTGGCCAGCAGAGCCCAACCCTTCAGTACTAAGTATCAGCCCTCGCAGAGGAGGGCCTGTTATCCCATCAAATTGTATGATAACATCCTAGCGACAGCAGTTAAAGCCTAACTCCTGGCAAAATATTTTATTTTAGTTTTGTATGGGAAGAATAAAATCTACCAAGTTTTCATTGCTGCCTGTGACCAAGTTGGGGAAGTTTCACATATCTTCCTGTCCAGGTGACAGCATAAGAAATTAGGGGACTAAAATGATAATAAACAGAGGTTCTAACCTTCCCAATTTCACAGAACAAAAGTGTTTTGTTGACATCTTTGTCCCCACTGGAGAAATTTCCTATCACTTTCTCTCCTGAGACAAGGGCAAATCTCCCTGAGTGGGACAAATAACAAAGAGAAAATTCAACAAATGCTTTATTCCGGGGGTGTCAAACTCAATTTCATTGTGGGCCCCATCAGCTTTATGGTTGCCCTCACAGGGCCGGTTGAATCTGTAAGACTAGATAAATGTATCTACTCTTTATCATAATATATAATTGCCTCTGAATTCAATTATTACTGGTTTTAGTAATAGCGAAAGACTTAAGCTGTGAAGGCCAGGTGCAGACCAGAACGGAGTCCCCTCACACTCCTGTAGCAGATGAAGTCTGAAAAGGAGGGTCACACACCACTGATATTATCCAAAAGAAACTTTATTGGAGGCTGCTCAGACAGAACATGGTTCTGCTATAGTGAGTATGCTCTGAGCAGTCTTCATCAAAACTTCATGTGGATGATACCATCGGTGTGTGACCCTGCTTTTCAACTGGCATAGAATTGTATTATTCTCATAATAATTGTAAACAGATGTTTAGAGCTCCCCACCATCAGAAGCCAAGAGTCCCCTCACCTTACATCACAGTGCACTCTCCCTTACCTTGTGCTGCTGCTGGGAAGAAGCTGGGGGAAGAGCTGCAGGAGAGGTGCGAGGGCCACATGAAATGGCCTGGAGGGCCACATTCGGCCTGTGGGCCTTGTGTTTGACAGATGTGCTCTATTCTTTCTTCACTGACAAAACCGAAAGGAAGCTTTGGTTGGAAATAAGATTTAGTTACCCATTCAGACCTTTTAAAGTGAGCACCACCCAAGTGGAACAGTTTGCATAAAGTCATATAAAGAGTCATTACGTGGTGTTCCAAGAACTGTTTCAACACTGTCAATGTGGCATGCAATCAAAATAAAATATGAGCAGATCCAATACACTTTGAAGTTGTACTCTTATCTATGGTAGTGGTAAGGGGGTCCAGTAGGTCAAACTAGTGGGGAGCAAGGGGTGGGTGTGCAGGGCTGAGTGGCTATGGAATTAATAAAAACGTGCTGTCTTGGATACCAGAATGGTTGTGCCCATTGTGTACAGTTAAATTTTTTACAACTCTAGTTGAAGGTTTCCAAGTGGTAGTGGTCGACTCTTGGTTGGTTGCCTTAATTTTTGGAATTTGGTTAGGAAATCAGACTACATGGCAGATTTTTTTCCTTTTGCATTACATGGTATTAGTTACTCAATTCTTTACTACATGATCTGCCTGTTTGACTTGGTAGATTCAAGGTCAAAATCATTTTGATTTCGTCATGATGTATGTAGTGCTTTAATGAAAACCTGTAATATAGAAGTTCCCCATTTGTCATGCTGATCCAATGGCTCCAGCCTGTGTGCAGAACTCTGACGTTGTTGATTTGAATTCTTGTTCCAGTCAACTTCTAATAAAGTGTAGAAACCAGGAACTGCCAGACAACTAGCATTTTAAAAACCAGGTCTCCAATGGTAGCCCACATGGTTCTCTCTGTACTGGTTTCCGTTTATTAAAACCTCATCAGGAAGATGGCATACTGCTGACTTTAGCTTACATATAATGATAATTATGGCTATTAACAGAATCCAACCCGAAGACAGCTTTAATTAATCTGACTAACCTATACAGCAAATAAATAAAATCTCAATGTTTGATTGATTTACATATAACACTTCTGTAATAAAAATGGAAATATCCTTTTGCCCCCTAACCCTAAAGGAGAAGTACAGCCACATCTCTTTTGGCTGTACTTCTCCTGTGGATCACAGGAGTGCAGTTTATTCTGCACTCTCGTGACCCATTTTCAACTGACATTGGGCTGAAGCCTGCTGTCTGCTGACATCACTCAACCGGTCCAGGCTGGGAGAGAAATCCCGACTTTAAAGTCAGGATCCATCGCAGAGTCTGGAGCGGCACCTGCCTGAGCCTTTCATCAAGGCACTGAGAACCTGGGACAGCCACTCCCTCCCCTTCAAAACCCAGCACTCCAAGGAGCATTGGAGGGAAGCAGAGAGCGGTGACCGACAGCTCAGAGCAGCAGTGAGAACTCAGTGATCAGCTGTCATGTGATCGCTGAGTTCTCACCCTTAGAGCCAGCGGGGGACAGATGCAGCATCGAACTGATGCTGTATCCACCTGGGTAAATATAATTTGAAAAAAATAACCCCACACTTCTCTTTTAACATAACTCCAGACCTCAAGGGCTCATTCAGACCAGCTGCTGCATTGCAACACAGTGGCTGGTGTGGTCCTGGCAAGATCAGCGCAGTGATGATGCACTGATCTTGGCACATCACACTATTTCTTTCTTTTAGTGAATTTTTTCGGGATGTCACACGGATATTTCATAAAAATCAATTGCCAGCCATGCGGTGCGAGACTTTGATTGCCTTGAGCTGCGCTAAAAGAAAGTACTGCATGCACATGCCACACACAATGCATTGGTGTGAACCAGGCCGAGAGGGAGACATTTTGCCTTATGTTGTGGGACTGCGCTGGAATAGAAATCCAACAAAGTCCCACCATATTTGGAGTGAACCTAGCCTAACATAGCCCCAGATGCATTGTTACCTAGCTCAAACAACCACCGTCTGCTGGAATCCTAAAGCTGGCCACACATGGATTGAAATCCAGCTGCTTCAGCATGGTAAAGAACTGCTCTATGGAAATAATTTCTATATTTCTGTGTGGTAATATAATTATCTCTTATGACACAATACTTTTTTTGTTGCAGTGAACAGTAGCAGTGATTGGTATTTTATCAAAACTGAATCCAATGCTACTTAAAGCTCAGCATGAAAAGAATGATGGAACATTTTCTGAAATGTAGACCTATCACAAACTTCTACTCATAAATACATATGCAGACATATGTTTAAAGATGATACCTGATGAAATCTTGTGTCAGTAGCAGTAGAGCAGCTGAGAAATTCCAGAATAATTCCTGAAACATGATTGGTGAGAAAGCAGCAGGCAGGAAAGACAGCTATCTTACAACTTGGAAGGAAGGATAGGAAGGATATATATAGACTAAATACTAATTTTAGACTTATAACCTTTTGATATGACATTCTGGCTTAAAAGTCTTATATAAAGTGCATTGACCCATAGCAACCAATTAGGAATCATTGTGTATTGTTCTGACTTCACTGAACTGGTAAAACATGTTATTTGATTGGGTTCTATAGGGAACTAGAGATCACTGTTCTTGGCAATATCTTATCAAGTAATCCCTCACACCTTTACGGTAATCTCCGTTGACTTTACAAATGTGCAGCTGCATTTTATAAAATACTGCAAAGTATCAATGACTGCTGACAATTTTCATAAGGCTAGAATACAGATGCAGGGTGGATTTCCTTACTGTACGTGTCTCCTGTGAATAGTGAGATTCTGCAATCATTGCACCTTTTCTAATCACAGCTTACACTGACAATCCTATTCTTCACAAGAGACATATTTGCTAAGCCAAGTTGGCTCAAAATGGACTCTATAAATCTTTTATAAATAACAAAGTGGACTCTTCCAATGCTGATGTCTCAGTTTAAAAAATTCAGCTGATAGAGTTACCTAACCTATGTGATAAATGGAAAAAAATTAAAGGCATAGAATATGCCAATAACATATGTTTTTTTTTTTTTTTTTTTTACAATCCAATGGAATTTCACTTTGCAACTTAAACTCTATCAGTGCACTACCACCTTACCATCTTCTGGTTGCCCCACATTGTATAGGAAAACTCCCATGTCCCCCAACTTAAATATGCATTTAGAATCATGTGTTTTAATTTTCCAGTTATGAAACTTGGTTTGTTTGATCATTTTGAGATCATTGAAGCTGCTGGAATAAAAAAAATGGGTACACATGAGTGCCAGAGCAGTGGTACTATTAGTTACCCTGTAGGCTTCGATTAGATTAAAACTTCTTATCAGTGCTTTCCTTCCAAGCCTACTGTCTCTCCAGTCACTGCTGTGCAGGTGTGAACATGTTGTGTCAATTCATTTGTAACTGCAACGTGAGCAAAAATGGATGTCCGACCTGTAATTTGCACAAAAGAAGAGCAGTGTGCAGTGAACAATTTTCAGGAAAAAGGTTCAACAATCAACAGTAGTTGTTAAAGTGAGATGCTTATTAAACAACTGAAGCCTAAAGTTGGGATTAATCACAGAGGTCTGCTATCCAAAGGTATAGCAATGCACGTCCGCACACTTCTGACCACACTGTCAACACTCCACAAATACTTAATTTTAATGTGTTAAAGCATCTTCCCTATGGCCCTGATCTTACTCCACTGGACTTTCACCTGTTTGGTCCCCTGAAAAGAGCCTTACAAGATCAAAGATTCACTTTTGATGAAGAAGTAAAGACAGTGGTGCATTCATGGCTCACAGCTCAGCCTAAAACATTTTTAATGAGCTTATTGACAGATGAACAAAGAGCTTTGAAAAGCAAGGAGATTATGTTGAAAAATTATGTATTTGTCTTTTCTAAACGTTAATTAAAATATATTCTACATCTAGAGTGAGGATTATTTTTGACTCACACTCATATTAATGTCTGTAGTCACACTGAGAAGATACCCCATATTTTCTGCACCAGTGACCGTGTTGTCACCAGGACTAAAAGTGAGGTGAAATCTCTCCAACAGAGACGAAACAGAAAACTATATTTAGTAGAGAAAAGCACAGGAAGCTCTGTCAACTATTTTACTACCATCTCTATTCCCATGAAAGATTTCCCTACACTTTTGGGTAATGATAGGGTAATCTTCCAAAAGAGTAATAAGCAGCAATAAAAACCTGACCAATGGTCTAA